ACCCTAAACCCTAAACCCTAAACCCTAAACCCTAAACCCCTAAACCGCTAAACCCGAAACCCGAAACCCTAAACCCTAAACCCCTAAACCCTAAACCCTAAACCCTAAACCCTAAACCGTGTCACTCACTGCCTTATCCTGTCAGCGTCTTTCGGCTCACTGCTAGGTCCAGGATCCCAGGTGTACCAAATAGTGAGTGGGTATCCTGATTATTGCGCCTAAACCCTAAACCCTAAACCCTAAACCCTAAACCCTAAACCCTAAACCCTAAACCCTAAACCCTAAACCCTAAACCCTGAACCCTGGATATTGCGCAGCGGCACCGCAGGTCGCTGCAAGGAGCGCCCACACTCGAAACCGTGGGCCCGAACCGAACACTCCGAGAAAGCAAATTCACAGTTCTAGCCCCTCGACATCCTAATGCGCCTAAGTTCCCAACAAATTTAGGGTTTAGGGTTTAGGGTAAATTTGCGGAACATTTCATGTCCAAATCCCGCATCCCACAGCCCTAAATTCCTAGCAGCTTCCCGTCCTGCACGTCCTGAAGCACTCCCAACGCAGTCTCCGTTCCTGCCGCCCGTGCATGAAGATTGGGCCCGGTCTGGAATCTCAGGCTCCGGGTTTGGGACACACTGACCTCCCTCAATGTGAGTAGTTGTCAAAATTATGGTCCTTTTTGGGGTACCCTAAATAATAGGTGCCGTATTATAATAAGGACCCAAAAAGGGACCGTAATTTTGACAACCACCCATGTTGGCTTTCTAATGCAACTTGCAGTGAGACTGCAGAGCATGCGTGTCTTCCTGCTTCCTGGAGGTGCATCCATTTCGGACACCCAGCCCCATTTACAGCACTTTTACGAACGCCAGAGCGCGAGAGTACTTTGTTGTTCTGTGTTAGCAGTCGACACCACCACCACCACCATCACCACCACCACCAATCACCACCAATCACCACCAATCACCCATCAGCGTCTCCATCACCATGATCATCATCATCACCGTCATGGCCATCATCACATTGACATCATTGCCAGAACCATAGCACTTTGCAGGGCAACCCTCGGCTCTGAGCATGTCACGTGAAATGCGCCGCGTGCTGCAAAAAGATGCGAGTTCAGGGGGTCTGAAAATCTAGGATGAAGCAGGCAGGATGTAGGATGCCTTTTAGAAGGGCTCTTAATCGGGTTTAGGGTTTAGGGTTTAGGGGGATCACCCCACCTACATTCATCCCAGCCTTGGAGCCCTGTAAGTAGTGTAGGTGATTGATTCGTCCCACCAAACACAATCAGAAACTTAGGGGCTGAGCACCCAGGGCCCAAAAAAAGTTAACCTTTTGAATAATACTAGGATTTTATAAGCCCCAAAAGGTTAAAGGTTACCTACTCAGCCCCTAAGCAAACGATCTCGCCCCTTTTTGCCTGGACAGGTCCGGAGCGGCTGGGATTCCCGGCACAGGGATCCACATCCTCTGCATTCTTAAACTCTACCGGGAACATAAACGTTAGCCTTCAGCCGTTCTGCGTCGTCTAGTTCGGCGGCGCATCTTCGAGAACCACCACTTTGAAGGTTTCCTTGTCCCAGCTTGTGCTGAGATCCTGCAGGATCGGGCTTTAGGGCGCAGAGCTTAGGAATTGACAAGCCTTGCTTGAGGAGATACTTTTCAAGGGCCAGGTTGCTCTGTTTAGGGTTTAGGGTTTAGGGTTTAGGGTTTAGGGTTTAGGGTTCTGCATCCAGAACCCCTGGTGCGGCGGATTTCGCAGATGCATACTCGACTAGTTAGAAATGATCCATCTAATCTAAACTTAAACCCTGGAGGCCTGAAAACGCACACTGCAACGCAAAAAGCTCCAGCATCGCAAAACTATCCCTACTTCCGTTCAGGGATCTCAGAAAAATGCAATACGAGTGCTAGCATTACTACTGCGACTAGACGCTCTCGGTACTGATTATAAATATCATGAGGACGATGAAGACCATGATGACCATCATGATAATGATTAATGATGGCAGTGACGTGAGGAAATTAATTATCGGAATTATCGTGCCGTGGTAGAGCCGGCGGCGGTTCCCGTAAGGCAACTTGGGTCACTTGACAAGCCAACTCGCCTCTCGAACCCGAAAGCTCTTCCTGTTGCGATCTTTGGCAAGTTCGCAAGAGTACGAAACAAACTGAGGGCCGCAAGAACGGAGAAAGGGCAAACGATATTGGTCTTCGGAACGGAACTAGTCTTGTCTTTGGTTTACGATTCTCTACTGGTTGGAGGGCGTGCGCTTCAGTTCAGACTACCACAGAACGAGTAATTTGGAGTTCTGCGAAAGCTGGAACCACTTCGAAATACAGCTTTCGCTTGATCTGCGAAGCTGCAAGTACCGGGGAATGCAGCCTTCGGAGCTCTAGCGAGAAGCTACAACACTACCACAAACTACAGCTTGAGGTTCGCTTGAAGCTGCCGACAGCATTGTCAAATGCAGCATTCGCAGCTCGGGGGGTCGCACATTTTGCAAGGTAGCTGGCAGCTGCCGAGAGCTCCTGAGACCCCTAAACCTTCGGGGCTGAGTACCCTAGCCCAAAAAAAGTTAACCTTCTGACTTATAGTAGGATTATAAGAGCCCCAAAAGGTTACAGGTTACCTACTCAGCCACTAAGGAACCCTAAACCCTACTTGGAGGTTCAGGGGTAGTTAGAAGTGGAGTTCTAAGTCCCCTAATATAACTACAGGTACCCTACTTATAACCCCACTTATAACTACCCATGAACCTCCAAGTATGAACCCTAAACCCTAAACCCTAAACCATAACCCCACTTATAACTACCCATGAACCTCCAAGTATGAACCCTAAACCCTAAACCATAAACCATAACCCACTTATGACTACCCATGAACC